CTAGGTGCTGGGCAGAGAGCAGGGGAGCAGAGTTGGGTGAAGACCTGGGGAGAGTTTCTGAGCCTCAGAACAATGGTTTCTAACTGGGGCCCATTGGGCCTGAGGCACTGGCTTCTCAAAACCAAGGCGGGGGCATCAGAGCTATTTCCTGTTTTCCACATTTTAAAAATCTTTCTAGAACATGGACCCATTTTAAGGCTGCCCAGGTAAGCTAAAAGGTTATGTTCCTTTGCTTTAGGCTGAATTATGTAAACTCAGTTTGCATTAGGCACCCAGAACAAATCAAATGCTATTTAATATTGTATTTACTGAAGGTCCGCCAGAGGGAAGTCTCAGAAAGTGACCCCGAGCAAGTTCACTGACCTCCCTCTGTTTCCTTACCTGTGAGATGAGGTGATGACCCAGCCGTACTGTAGTGGGTTGTGGCAAGAATCAATAGGATAAAGTCTGCAAAATCTAGTTTAAGTGCCTGGCACAGAGCAAGGCTCAATTCTCAATACTCTTTATTATCATTATTATTAGATGGTTGGGAACCACTACTGCAACTTCTGTTCAGCCCCAGCCCTCTGACATGTGAATCAATGTGCTAGAAAACCATGTGGACTCCTTTAAAGCCACTCAAAGTCACCTTGCCCCTACAAGTCTGGGGGAATCTTCCCCTGAAACAATTTGTTAACCCCTAAGACAGTCCTCCCTATTCCTGGCCCATTGCGGGTATCAGGATTCTGTAGGTTACTCTCAAAGCAAGAAGGTTATAATGGGCAAGGGCAAGTCAGACTGGGTCACTAAAGGAAGAAGAAATCCTCTGCTCCTTGGTGAGCTGTGGTGAGGGCAGCAGAGAAGAGTCTGAGGTCCAAGTGGACCGCAAGTCTGAATGTGACCCAACCATGGAGTGCCTGTGCTGAGGTGAGGCTGATCCAGGGGGATAGGCAGCAAGCAGCATAATGCTTCGGGTTGAGGGACTGTCCTGCCCTGGTCAAAGGAGCTTTGTGCCTAGAGCTATAGGACCTCACAGCTGATGAGCACTGAAGGGAACCTGGTGGTGAAGGGGTCAGTCTGGGCAGTTGAGGAGGACAGAGGGGTGGAGTAGTGATGTAGCAAGATAGACATCTTTGAACTCATCAAAAAGCCCATCCTCCCTGTACTTCTGGGAGCTGTGGCTGTTAATATTATGTATTATCATTAATAGTAACTACATTTATTGAGCATCTACTGTGTGCTAGACCTTGCACTTAGTTATTTACATGGATTATCTCATGTAGACATAAGAACCCTAAGGAAAAGTTTACTATTATCACCCCATTTTACAGGTTAGAACACTGAGGCTCAAAGAGGTAAAATCAGTTGTTCTAGGTGTGTAGTTTGGGCACAGAGCTTTTAAGTGACAAGGCAAGCCCAGTGCTACCTACTACACCATCTCATTCTTTGCCTTCGGCCCTGACTCCTCTCTCCAGCCCTCTTCCCTCCTCTGTTCTGGGCTTGTGGGGAGAAAAGAAAGAGAGGTCCACAGATGTGTGTTTCGCTTTTCCTTTCCCTCTGCTGATGCTCACTGGCCCTCACACCCATTTCTTGTTGCAGGAAGGTGAACAAGTGTTACCGGGGACGCTCCTGCCCCATCATTGTGCACTGCAGGTGCGTGGAGACGGGCTGTGGGATGGGGATGGCAGGGGACAAGACGATCGACCTAGCCCAGAGGGCCCTGAGGTGGGGCATTCCTAAAACTCGCTCCTCTGGCCCTCCGCCCTGCCCTGTGCACATCTCCATGCACACCACCTGCCTGTCCCCCGGGTGCCTGCCGGCAGTCTACAGCCTGGGGCTATCTTCAGCTTACCTTGTTTTCTAATGGCCCATGAGCTAAGAATGGTGTTCACATTTTTTAATGGTTAAAGAGGAAAAAAGAAAAAGGAGCAACAGAGACTATACGTGACCCACAAAGGTAGAAATATATACCATCTGGCCATTTACACAAAAACCAGCTGGAAACCCACCCCATTTCCTCCTGCCTCCTCCACCCTAGGGTTGAGCCCAGGCTCTTCTTTCTTATTGGCCCACTGCCCAAGTGACACCCCAGAGGCCACAGGCTTCCAACTCAGGGCTCAGTTCCCCGGGCCCAGGTGCTGTAACCGTTCCCTCAATCTTGGCTCACTGACACCCTCTCCGAGCCAATTCTAATGGCTCCACCAGTGTCCTCCCACCCCAAGCCTTCATATCTCCTCCCCGCCTCCCCCTATCTGCTGGATCCTGAGCTGAGCCGAGGCTGTGGCCCTCTCCTGTTTCAGTGATGGTGCAGGGCGGACTGGCACCTACGTCCTCATCGACATGGTACTGAACCGCATGGCAAAAGGTGAGGACCTTCCCCACGGTGCCTGCAGCCCAGCCCCAGGCTTTGTCCAAGCCTCCCATCCCAGGATGGCCCAACTTTCTGGGTCCTGTCCTCCTCTGGACACCCCCTGAGCAGCCCTGTGCCCCCTGCCCCCAGGAGTGAAGGAGATCGACATCGCCGCCACCCTGGAGCATGTCCGTGACCAGCGACCTGGCCTGGTCCGCTCTAAGGTGACTGTTCTTCCCTGCCCCAACCCTCACTGCCACCTTTCCCCCAGGAAAACCAGCAGCAGCTGCCTCTCCCGCCTGCCTCCCCGCCTGCTGTGTACCTCCCCCAGGAAGACTGCCCCCCCCCCCAAGTGACCTCCCTGCTCCCCTTCCTAAAGGCCCCTGGAGGCCTGAGCAGAGACCAGGCCTTCCCATGACCCTCCTCCCACTGCCCTTCCCAGGACCAGTTTGAATTTGCCCTGACAGCTGTGGCGGAAGAGGTGAATGCCATTCTCAAGGCCCTGCCCCAGTGAGCCCGCGGGGCCCCCAGTGGGCAGCCAGGCTCCGTCCCTTCTATGCCTGTGTGAGCATCTATCTGTGTACTCATTCCTCATTCCGCACCCGCACTTTGGCCCCTCCTGGGCAAAAGCCCTTCCAAGAGGAGTGTTAGGAAGGTAGGGGAAGTGGGGACGGGCAGGCCTGCTCAGCCTCACACACGTGGAGCCCCAGGCGTCCCATGGGGGAGCTGGCAGCCAGCCAGGAGGAGAGTTGTGGGCAGTCACTGCACCCAACGCCGCCTCCTGCCTGACTTCCCTGACCCACCTCTCACTCTCCTGGATGCTCCTAACATGTCTGTAGGGACACCCCCTCCTCCCACCCTCCAGTGTGGACAGAACAGGGTGGAAGGGCACCACACCCAGCTTCCCCTGCTTCCCCAGCCCCTGCTGCCTGCTGTCCTGGCGCCCTGACCCACATTCTGGCCCCTCCCTCTCCTGCCCTCCCCCTCAGAGCTCCTCTCCCAACACCCTGCCTTTTGTCACGTGCTGCTCAACTCTCTCCCTCTGGCACAGAACATTTCTAGAAAAATCTACTTTTGTATCATTGTGAATAAAGTTAGTGTGTTGTGTGTGCAGCTGCAACCTGGACTCCCACGTACTCCTGTCTGCTCTGCTTCCAGCCTCGGGCCGCAGCCTGTCTGGAGCCAGCCTGCCAGCCTGCGGTCCTCGGGCGGGGCGCAGGCTCTCCAGGGTCCGAATGGAAACGAATAACCAGGCCTCCTGGGTGTCGGGCAGTGTCCTAGGTGCCTACATACTTAGAAGAGGTGGAGCTAGGATTCGAACCAGGCATGCCAACCCTCTTTCATGCCTCTCCTCTTAGATCCCAGGCAGCTGCTCTGTGCCCTTGGGCCTCAGGAATGATGTACGTTGTGCAGGATTGAGATTAAGATTAAACAAACTGCCTGCCACGCCTCAGGCAAAATTAGCTAAACTCAGGTAGACCAAGGCTGAGAGATGTCACAACAGTCAGTCACCTGGTGGCAAGGGGCACCTCTTCCCGATCCCTTTACTCCCAGAACTGCCCTTCCTGTATGGTCCCAGACGCGCCCTCCCTGTGTATCCTGAGCATCTTTGGACAAAGGTGGTGGACACAGAAATGAGACGACATGAACCTTGGGCCTGAGCTCCTTGGGAGTTACGGCCACTTCACCTTGCCAAGGCTCAGTCCCCCTCACCTGGCAAACAGGGCAAGTACCATCTGCCACTTGCAGGGAGCGAAGGGACCAGCGATGAGACCGCTGGTCCTCCTATGCCTCACCTGGGCTCGACTGAGGCGCATGCATTTACTTGTTTAATCTTCATACATTCCAGTATGTTTGACCTCTCAAAGGCTAGGAGTGGGCAAAACCACCACTTGGCAAAATTCCAGAAGATCTCTCTCCCTCAAGACAGAAGCTTGAAATTCTTCTTTCAGGTTAGGCTGCTTCCTTGCTTTCAGAAAAATACACTATGGACCCTTTGGCTATGGACGATGAGGCCAAGCGTTTATCCTGGAATGGGAGAGAGAGTGCGTGGTGAGCCACACCGCCCTGCGTGCCGATGGGAAGGTGCTTGCCCCATGGCTGGAGGGGCAGCTCTACACGTATCTGTAGAACAGGAGAGGTACCTGGCTTTCTCCTCCCTGGGTCCTGATGAGCTGGGGGCCTGGATCTTGAGTGGGGCAGACCTGTGCCACTCCACGTGGGGGAGGCGGGCCCCTGAGACCCGCCACTGGCTTTGGGCTAAGGAAATCTGTGAAAGGGCTCAGTCTATGTACATTTTTACAGGCTCTCACCACATGTTCCCTGCTTTTTGTTGTCCTTAGGCTTTCAGTCAAGTCATACCTTAGTCTGGTCCTAGCTGTGCTGCAGTGTGTTGGGACCCTGCATAAGGGGAAACACAGCTGCCTGGGAAAGCCATCTGTGGGGCCCCAGGAGGTGAGGGCAGAAGAATGGGAGCACTTCTCAGGATTCCACACGTGCTGTTTTGGGGGGGGGGGGGGTAGCAGACCAGCCAAAGAGGGGATGTCTGCTGTCAGCTGGGAAGGCTTGCAACCTCTAGGTGTTTGGGTAATAAAGGAAGGTGTGTCACCCACTGGTCCCATAGATCCCCGGGCCTCCCTGGGAAGGAAGGACACAGGAGCAGAGCACCACCGAGCTCTCCAAACTCAGCTTTATTGACCAACTTCCAGTGTTTCCCTCTGGCCTGAGCTCAGCCCAGCTGGCTTTGATAGGTCTCTGAGACACAATGTCACAGGGTCTGGCATACCCCAGCTCCACCACTCCCCTCCCTGGCCATGGGGCTCCCCAGGCAGGGAGGAGGAGAGGCAGCTCAGCTGTGGTGTTGGAAAGAATGGTCAGCAGGGTCAGAGGCCATAGAAGCCATACAAGCAGCAACATGCCTGGAGTTCCCATCGCATGCCAATCCCAGATCCACACGCGCGCACACACACACACACACACACACCCCAGAGGGCCCTTCCCTTCAAGCTCTCTGCCAGTCCACACCCATCAGCTTTTAGTGATCCCGTCCCAGCTGTTCCTCAGACCCCTGTACTGTCCACAAGAAAAGAGCCTCTCCCAGATGCCACAGGGCTTTGATTTCTACACATTTCTACACGCTAACCCTGCTGCTAGCAAGAGGTGTCAGGGGAATGGAAGCTCAGACCATTACCCCTTCATCCACATTTTCACCATCCCTGCTAGGGGCATATCAAATGATAAGTTCTCCCCATCTCACAGCCAGTGACAGGCCGACCTGGAGTGGAACTACATGTCCCAAGATGCACAGCTCCATAACCACACACCACTTCCCCCAAGCACAATCTATCAGAAATGAGGCAGGGTGTGTTGCATTCTGGGACTAGTAGTCTCCAAGAGACAGCACCAACCACCCAGTGAAGAGTTTACAGGCTAAGACTACTGACGTCTCCCACCCAGACCCCACCCACCACCCAGGCCCAGCTCTATGCTCAGCACAGGTGAGGGAGAGGAATGGAGAGTCCCCTCCCAGCCCACAGAGGAGGGCGCTGTCCTGTAGGAACTGTGCATCGACTCTGGATCCCGGACATCCAGCTCAGAACACATCTGGGAAGAGAGTGGGGGTGGGTGACAGGAGAGAGGGTCAGCAGCAAGCCGTGGAGGGTGGTGCCACAGAGCATGCAGACCTGGACTGGCCCTGTGGCCTCTCCCTGAGCCCTGACGCATGGTGAAGTGGGATGGGGCACGGTCCCCTTGTAGGCCTCCCTCCTGGGCACCCTGGCTTTATCCCACTGCTCCCGGGTTAGCCAGCCTCACCTCTGCCTAGTCCCAAGGCCTAGGGCAGGCTGAGGCAGCAAGAAGAAGGGAGGAGGAGCGGGCTCCGGTTCCGAATCTGGATGGCCCAGAGGCTCCCACCCCACCCAGCCAGCCTCCCCGGAAGACCTTATGGCCCTACCGGCCACAGCATCTTCCTCGACACACAGAGGCCTTCTTGGGGAAGGAAGAAGGGAGTCCTAGCCAGACAGCAGTGAAAGCAAGCGATGCGGCCCACGGGGAATTGCAGAGTAAGGAAGAGCAGCAGCACCAGAAGGGAAGCAACAGAGACAGTCAGAGCTCAGCACAGCACAGAAACCAGGGCAGGGTGCCCGCAGCTGGACAGGGGGAGCCGAGACTCCCCAGTGGAGCTGCCGACTCGGGCTCAGAGAACCCCAGGCCAAGTCCTCCTTCCTTGACATCATCAGCAACACAGGTTGCTGGGCACAGAAGGCCTGCCCCAAACCACTAATGCCCCTTAGAAAGCCCCCATCACATAAGAAGTGCATCCTGGCTCCTCAGGTCCTCCCACCGCTGGGCTTCACCAGGGACCTATCAGCTCAGCAGAGCAAAGCCTGAGTCCACACCAGAGGGCAGGGGACCTGGAGGGAAACTGTAGGGGGAGCATGGGGTTGGAGGGGCCACATCCCCCTCTGTTCTGACAGTGAGCAGGACCCAGGTCACCCAGAATTGGGGTGGGTTGAGCTTGGCGATCAGAGGATGAGGCACTGAGCGGCCTTAACCTCCACGGGTGAGCCAGGTTTGGCTGTGTCACTCCTTGCACTCTCCTGAGTCCCCCCCATGCCCGGATCTTGGTACTGGGCCTTGGGCTGCCCCTGCCGTCTTCGCTGTGCGTCCCGCCCACCTGCCGGTTTCTTCCCAGCTGCCTCCATCTCTGACAGGCTGTAGGCCATGGCAAGCTGCATGTCCTCATCCTCCTCCAAGAAGCTGCTGCCAAAAGGGCGTGAGGCAGGGGACCGCTGCACCTGAGCGCCCCCAGATCTGGAAGTAACAGCCGATTGCTGTTCCCGACGGCTCAGCTCCAAACCCAGTGCCAGGTCGTCTGGGATACCTACAGGAGTCACAGGCACCATGAGGCCCCCTGGCCCAGGCCAGGGGAATCCTGCCAGGCTGGCCCCATGCAGCACTCTGACCACTTCCAGCTCCTCTTTTGGAAATGGCATCCATGCATGTGAACACCTAGCATAGTGGTTATGAACATGGGCAGGGATTCAGTTCCAGCATGAGCTCCCGCCTTGGGCAAGTCATTCTACCTCCCTGAGCCGCCTTCCCTCATCTATAAAATGGGAATGATGAGAAATCCTGCACTGCCAAATTGTCCCGATGGTTAAGCCAGACAGCACAGTGTTCCCAGGGTCAGCAGGTCGGCAGGCATGAAAGGGTAGCCATGGCGACCACCCTGTACAGCAAGGAGTTGTGGTAAGAGTTCAGCTCCAGGAATCCTGTGTCCTGAGTTTCATTCCTGGATTTCCTCCTCACTAAGTAGGACAGAGCCTTGGACCTGAGGGTACTTGGGTTTATAGCCATTTAACTGTGCTGAGGCACAGCTTCCTCAAGTGAAAACTAGGGCAAACACCAACTGCCCTGCTTTCCCCGGCTGTTTGAAGACTATAGAGGACATGGTATGCATGCAAGTGCTTTAAAAATAGTAGAGTTCTGCAAATGCACCCCACTAATGATGACAGTCATTAGCTGTGCCCTGGGAGGCTCCTCAATTCCCTGTCCTGGTCCCCATCCCCATGATCACCATCCAGAGATCCTGCAAGTCTGGCCTGTGGTTGCCATTCCCTCCCTGCTCTGAGGGAGTTGAGACTGCAGCAGTTTGAGGAGGTAGCTTTGGGGCATGGGGCTGGGGCTTCCTGCCAGGGACTGAGTGACAGGGCTGCTCCTCACCATTGATCGAGACTGACTTCAGCTGCCCGTCCTCCTCCACTTCCACCCGCTCCTGCCCGTTCTCCATGATTCTGTGGGAGACAGCACAGGTCATTCAGCGGGCATGCCTGAGTCCCACAGGCGCTCGTCCAGGCTCTGGGATGCTGCAGTGAACAGGACAGACTGGGCTCTGCCCTCAAGGGGCCGACTTTCTAGTTGTATGCAGCTCCCCCTCCACCCAATATGGTCCCAGGAGGAGCCCTCACCTGCGTGTCGTGATGCGGTGTCCCTGGACAAAGGCGGTGGATGTAGAGACAGAGCGAAAAGCACCAGCCCCAGGACTGAAGGAGAAAGACGAGGAGGAGATTTCTGGCATTGGGACAGAGGAGGAGGAGGAGAGGTTGTTAGACCGGGGTTGTATGCAGCAGGCTGCAGTCACAATGGGCCAGGAACCTGTGTGCTCTCTCCACAGGCAGGGCTCCGGATGCACCAGAGAGCCTTGGAAAAGCCAGGAGCTGAGGCGAGGGGTTCCAGGATGCAGAGATGGTGAAAATGGGAAGGGACAGCACTTACCAGTGTGTCCAGGGAAGGAGGTAGAGAAGGCAAAGAAGGGGCCTGCGGGCCGGGAACCCCGGTTCTGAAGGTCTGAGAAGGGGCCCAGTTCTTCTGCAACAGTAAGCAGATTAACAATCATCTGGTGAAGAGATTTCTTCAAAAAAATAAATAAATATGTGAATCCTGCTTTAAAGTCTAGAAACATAAGCTGCTAATCATAAATCCTAAGTCTGATTTTTTTCTCGTCTGCTTGAACTTATTTATAAATAAATTCCTTTATAATATTATAGATGAAAAGGTTCAGTAGTACATTCTGTCCACAATAAAGAATAAAGGAAGGAGGTGGGAGGGAAGGAGTGAGGGAGGACAGAGAGTTCCTTCCATATAAGAAGAGCAGGACGGTGTGATGCCAGGCCAACACAGTGACGAGTCCCGCTCTGCCATCTGCTGTATCTCTAAGCAAGTGATCTGAATGTGCCTCAGTTTTGTCATCTGCAAATGGGGATAAAATTATCTGCCTCACAGAGTTCATATTAATCATTTCAAATAATGGTAACTGTTTTTGTTTGTGATGGCATTATCACTGTCACATGAGGCTTGGAGCCTTGCTTCATGGCTGTCATTGTGGAGGCCTAACAATGTATCATTGTTATCGTTTCATAAGACAAGTCTCTGAAGTGCCACTCCTGGGTCACGTGAGTTGAGGCCTGTGTAAGGTTCTGTCCCCGCTCTCACTGGATCCACCCCCACATCTTCCGTCTGTGGAATTCTGCTTCCCTCTCAGCCTTCCCCATCAGGACTTCCCAGCTGACGGAGAGTGGGCCTGCAGGGGGAAGTCAAGCTAGTCAGGGGCCTCTGGAGTCCACTCACCAAAGAGCTCCGCAAAAGGGTCCCCAGTCCCGAAGAACTCCCGGAAGACCTCCTCGGGGCTGCGGAAGGTGAAGGTGAAGCCAGGCCCACTACTGCCAGCTTCCGCCCGAGATGGGCCAGTTCCTGGAGGAGAGGCAGATTGAGGAGGGGGCTTAGAGTGTACATCCTGGCCGAGCCAGGGGACCCCACCTCAGGCATGGCCAGGAGCCCCGAGAGAGCATCCATTGTGAGCAGCTGCCCTCCCCCTCTCCTCCCTGACCCACTTCCATTTCTGGGCCCCACCACTCCACCTACCTGCTCCAGTCAGCCCTTCCCGGCCATAGCGGTCATAGATCTCTCGCTTATGCTCTGGAAGAAGAGACCAGGTCATTTCTCTCTGCCTCTGGGATAACGGCCTCCCCTTTTGGCCTAAGTCCCTCAGAAGACTGCCCAGAGACTGACACTTGGGGGCAGCAAGGTGCAAAGGGGACAGGGGTTATAGGTTTTAGCTGCAGCTCATCTGTAAAATGGACATAACAGCACCTACCTCTGAGGGTTGTTGCAGGATTAAATGAGACAATTCATGGAAACGGCTTAACACAGTGCCTGATACATAGTAAGTGTTCTGTAAATGTTAGCTCATTATGACTGTGTTATTCCTGGTCAGGGCTTAGCCTACGTGTCACTTTCTCAGAGAGGCCTCTGGGGCCATCGCAACATCCCTCTCACGTCCCCCTGCTACTTTCCTTAGGAAAACTCTTGTCTATCTATTTATTTGGGTAATGTCAATCTTCCCTGACCAGAATGTGATAAACCCATCAGGGTGAGGACAGTGCCTTCTTGTCCTCCATTGTTCCCCAGTACCCAGCAAGGGCCCAGCACCATAAACATTCAATGAATATTTTTTGAATGAATGAGAAAAGGACTTGGACTCATATTCCAGCTGTGTGATCTTGAGCACGTTACTTCACCTCTCCCAGCCTCAGTCCCCTTGCCAGTAAAATGGGGGTGATAAATTCTGCCTTGCAGGATGGCTGCGAACACTCCTGGAGATTACACCCACCCATGCCTGGCACAGAGGCGGCTGGGCATACACGTCGGGCATCCTCTCCTTTGTCAGGACCCATGTTGCAACTACCAGACATTGGGGAGCAGACACTGAGCTCAGAGGATTAGGGGAAGAACAAAAAGGTAGTTTGCACAGAGTAGGTGCTCATTTGAAGGAACAAGGTCCCAGAGTCCCTGTGGGAAATGTGTGTGTGTGGGGGGGGGGGGCAGGAAGTGGGGGTGATGGGTGCTGCCCTGCTCTGTCCCTGGCCTTACGGTCTGACAGCACTTCATATGCCTCCGCCACTTCCTTGAACTTCTTCTCAGCAAACTCTTTATTATCCGGGTTCTTGTCTGGGTGCCACTGAAGAGCCTTCCGCCGGTACCTGCAGGAAGTGGGTTCAGAGGGAAGGGCCGAGGGACAAATGCAGGCACTTCCCCTCACAGAAGAGAATGACCCACTTTCCCATTAGCCAGCCCATGTCCTTTCATCCGTGAGCCTGTTCCACCCCAGCTGCTGGGCAGCCTCCGCTGCGGTGCTTTAGCGGAGGCCTATCGCTAGGACTGCTTGTAGTAACAGGTGATAATGTGGGGGTGAGAAGGCCCAGCCCTCACTCTCCCTGGGGCTCCATGGGGCTGGGGTTGCAAAGGTGGGGGGGGGGTACAGGTGGCCATGGAGGGTAGAGGGGCAGTGGTCCCTCCTGGTCAGTGCCTGGGCATCTTTACCCAGCATCCCGAGAAAGCCCCCATCTAGGGGCTGGGGGGGGGGGGGGGACTGCAAGGGAGGGGAAGGGAAAGTTTGCTAAAGAAGGACCCAGCTCCCAGCAGAACTTCACAGCTATGGACGTCCTCCTACTCATCGGGGGTCTCCCTCCTCCCTACAGATGTCAAGGGCCTGGTTCTGCGTCTGAAGGGCCCCAAGGTGCTGGTGGTGGGAGGTGGCGGTGGGAGAGGCTTTGCGGTGCGCAGGGGAGGCACTTACGCCTTCTTGATGTCATCTGCGGAGGCACTGGGCGGCACGTCTAGGATCTCATAGTAGGATGCCATGGCAACTTGTCAGCAGTCAGGCGGGCCTCCGCGGGCTGCAGGAGAGAAGGACGAGTCAGGAAGAAAGACCCAAGGGCGCCTCCCTGGGGCCGGAGCCCCCCCAGGTGGCGGGCGGCGTTTCCAGGGGAAGCGGAGCCCACCGGGCTCTGCTCGCGGCGGTGACTAGGCTCGCTCGAGCAGCCTTATCGGCCCCCGCAGGCCGGTGCCACCGGCTATCTCGGTGCCCAGGCCCAGGGAGCCCTATCGCAGCAGCCCCCTAACTCCGCAGCAGGGCCCAGAGCCCCCAGTCTGAACAGGCACCCTGCCCGCACCTCCTCCGCCCGGAGTCCTGGGGCCCCTGCGGCGCCCCGCCCCTGCACCCCGCAGGGAACCGTCTGGCACCCGCTGCCGGGCTCGCGGCTGCTGCGTAGGACGCTCCCGGCCCAGCTGTGCGCGCAGGCATGCGTCAGCTGCACGGAAACTACTAGAGTCAGAGGAGGCCGGCCCGGCCGGTCACCTGGGGTGTGGGGAGGGGTGGGGGTGGGGTGGGGGTGCTGCTGCACGGGCTGCCGGGAGATGGGGGCGGAGCCGGCTATTTTGGGCTTGCACCGGGAAGACGTCATCCCCAGCTGGGACCTGGGAGACCGCGGCGAGCTCCATCCAGGCTGACACACTTGCCAACCAACAAGCCACCTGGCCCCTGGTCCCGCTGTCGCTTTTCTCTAAACAGGCTCAATGATCGATAGTTAACTCACCCCGGAGGAAATCGCCACCTCAAGGACTCACAGATTTCCCCTTTGGACCTAAATCCTCCCCCTTTTTCAGATTCCACCTCTAGTCCCAGGTCCTCAAAAGAGGACAGACCTGCCTCTCTCTCATAGCGTCTTGTGGCATCCTTAATCACACTTGTCAGAGTGACAAATGAGCATTTATTTGTTTATTTGATTGACATGTACTTCGCCCACTAAAATGTAAATTCCACAGGGCAGAGCTTGTGTCTTGTTTGTACTAGAGTATTAGGGCTCAGGTACAGTGGTGGGGTTCAGAAACAGCCATTGGATGATTAAATAATGCACGGTTGCCAGCCTCTTACTGGCAGTTTTGACACATTTGGGGAAGTAGGGTTAAAGGGGAAGAGGAAAACCAAAAAAAAAAAAAAAAGGAAAAGAAATTTCCTGGTTTTAAGATTTTCCTTCCCAACGTGATCCTATTAAGTAGACTTCTGCCTCAAAATGACTCCTGGGTTCAAGCTTCATGGGAGATTTAGAGAACTTTCCAGAACTGGCTCCTGCTTGATATCCACCAAGCATTAATTGCACATCTTCTCCATAGTAGATGTGGCCAGGATATAAAAAGGAGACTGTGGCCCAATCCCTGCCTCCTCAGGCTCAACTCGGTAAGATACCAGCCCGTTAATACAGCCCACTGGGAAACCCCTAAGGTTTGGAAATAGATCTGGATTTGCAGCCTGACAGTACTATGTGATTTGGGGAAAACTCTAAGGACGCCATTTTCCCTCCCTAAATACAGGGAAAGTCTAGGGCTGTTTGAAAGTCAGATGAGGTGGGGTATGTAGTCAGTCGTAGTACAGTCTTCCCTGGCATCATTATTGGCCCAAGCAGCAATGGCTATGAAGCCAGAAGGGTGTTCAGGCTTTATGACCCAGAAATGCTTCTCTGAAGAGAAGGGCTTGAGCCAGACATGGGCAAAGAGAGTGGTATTTAGAAGTGGTATTCAGAGGGAGTATTTAGAAGCTCATTTTGGCTGAGTAGCTCAGCTACATCCTCGAATAAGAGAACTTTGTCCAGTTGTCCTGGCTGCCCACAGTCTGAGCCTCCTGCCTACATTTGGGGAATTCCCATTGCGTAGGTCTTGAAGGCAGCCAGGCCAGCCACCGCCTGCCAGAAAGCCCGGACACTTGCTCTCCTAGACTTCTCGGCTCCAAGGGTGCAGGCAAAAGACACAGCTCTGCCAGTGGCAAGCTCCCACTGGGACTCTGAATCTGGATCAAGTCACAGAAAAGCTGGGACAGTTGAGAATTCATTTCTGCATTGTGATGGCAGTGGAGCCAGCAGTGGCCTCTAGTGTCCGGAGGAGAAAATGTCAGCCTCGGTGCCTGGGTGGGAGGGGGCCTCACTGCAGTGGGCAGAGGGACTGGCAAGCTGTCCTGTGCCCTGACCTTGACGGTGGTGCCGGCTGCCCACGTTCCCTTGGAGCTTACCTGTTTGCGGAGGCTTGTTTGGTGGCCCTAAATACTGATTCTGTGTGCTACCTGACACCTCTCCAAGTCTGTGTGTGTGTGTGTGTGTGTGTGTGTGTGCGTGCTTTTTTAATTTGCCAGAGTTAGTTTCTGCTTTTTACAACAAAAGTCTGACTGATCTTGGTATAAGAGGAAGGAATAGGTTAGGTCACTCTAAAATCTTCCAAATCTCTTTCTTCTTACTTCTCTTATCTCCACAGACATTTTTCTAGCACCTACCATGTAAGTGGTTGTATTAAGAATAGGAATACAAAGTGGCTTAAGTTCCAGTCCCTATTCTCAACAAGATGAAAATATAGCTGGGACATAGACAAATGACAGCTGGGAGAAATTATATAAAACACATCTAGCAAGCAGGATTCATCTCCTTTGTTCACAAAGAATTCCAACAAATCAATAAGAAAAGACAAACAATGCCATTTTTTTAAAAAATGGGCAAAGAGCACAGACAAGACAGTTCGTAGAAGAGAAAGTACCGACTTTTAAACAATTGAAAAGATGCTCAACTTCATTCATAATAAGAGAATTATGAAGGAAATCTGTGACAAAATACTTTCACTTATCAGATGATTGACCAAGATTAAAAAGTTCAGTACATCGTATGGGCAAGGCTGTGGGCACAGGCATTCTCATACACTGGTAAAGGGAGAGTAATTTGGTATAACTTCTAAACAGAGCAATATGGGGTATGTTAAAATTAAAGGTGCATAGCCTTTGACCACGATTGCAAATCTAATAACTTATGGTTGAATATATGTGCAAAGACATATACACAAGGGTTGCAGCATTTTTTTCAATAGCAAAAAAAAAAAAAAGGAAACAACCTAAATACCCATTTAACCAGTACACTGGCTAAATAAGTGATGGAATGGAATGGAATACTAAATTGCCACCAGAAAGAATGAGGTATGTTCTAACACAGACTATCTTCTAGATTTATTGATAAGTGTGTGTGTGTGGGGGGGGGGGGGGAACAGGTATAGAACAAAGTGTATGTAGTTTTGTATACACACAGTATGTATAGATGTCTCTGGAAGGAAACACTAATAAAAAGTCAACAGTGGTGGCTGCCAAGAGGGGAACCAATGAAGGAAACATTTTCATGGTATAAGTTTATTTTTGTTCATCTCGTTGGTACTTTTGAATTCTGAAGCACGTGTACATAACTGTACAGATACATACAGAATTTTTTAAAAATTGGGAAAATAGGTTATTGGCAAGAAGCTAAGCAGCCTATGCCAAGCACAAAATGAGTGATAGAGACACACGCAGTAGGGGCCGGGAGGATCTAGAGGAGGCAGAGCTCCCAGGGTTGGATGGGTTCCGGGTGACCGTGACCTCAGCTGGAAGGAATGACAACATTGAGACAAGCAGGGGGAGTGGCATTCCAGGAGGAGGGAATGGTGGGAATGCCGCTTTGGGGGCAGGCATGTTCCGGACACATCAGAGGCGAGAAAATAAAGGTGTTGGGTGGGATCCAAGGCTGGGAGCCTGTCTCTTGTGTCTGCCCGCAGGAGATAATTGTAGTCCAGCTTTAGAGGCATCACGGATGAAAGCATTCCCCTTCACTGAGGGAGTCCTCAGGAGCTCGGCTGGGTCACTCCCAGCTGCCCCATGGAGGTCAGAGTTGCCACCTCCACACACGCACACCCAGCCCAACCTAGGCCTGCCAGCACCTGCCAGCAGGGTTTCTAGCTGGGAGGCCTTTCGGGTCTGAGAGGAGGTGGCCTTACAGCTGCCCGGGGTGGGCTGGCTGGTACCGTGGACAGGAAGGGAACCTGACTGCCTCTCTGGATGCCCAGCATCTTGGCAGGCGAGGCCCTCCCTACTGGCCTCCCAAGCCTTCACCTCACCTCTTATGAGATGTTGGGGGGTAGGGAGAGGACTTTTCAGAAGGCACTGACAGCCCCAAAACATAGGCCCAAAAACACCTCTGCTCTTGTTCAGCCCAGAAACTGGACCCTTGTTACCATTGCCCACCCCCAACACATGCCTGGGCAGGGCAGAGTAAAGGGGAGTGTCACCCCCTCCCTGCCTTTGAGGCACCTGAGTCACTGTCTGGGAATTGGGCCTTGGCAGGCCCAGAAAAGGTGGTGTCTGGAGGGGGGCCTGTAACTCCTATAGGCAGGAGGGGAGGGCACTTGAAGGAGGGGAGGGCAGCAGCATAAGCTTTGGCCCAGGTTGGCCTGGGGTTTGAATCCTTACACCCTCCTTTACTGGATGAGTAACCTTGGGCAAACCTCAGTCTCCACATCTATAAAATAGGCATACATGTAACACATACTATTCAACAAATACTGAGTATCTAATAGAGGTTGGGCAGCATTCTGATCCTGAGAGTAAAATAGACTCTGTTCCCATGAAGCTTCCAGCCCAGTAGGTATAACTGTATTGACCTCAGGATTAAACCAGGTAATGTGGACATAGGGCCTAGTAGATGCTCAATAAATGACATGATTGCTTGGAATTTGAAGGACTCTCTGCCCAAAACCTCTTCCCTCCCCAAGTTTGAAACCAATCGAGAAAGAGAAAGACATGAGTCAAATAAAGATTTGAAAATCCGTTCTCTTAGTGAAAAAATAAACAGCTTTGAGGATATAGCTGAGCTATTGAGCCAAAATAGGCTTCCAAATACTCCCTTTGAATTAAATCCCCCCCCCCCCCCCAGTACTACACACATATACACACCACTTCAGGCCTCTCCCTCCAGGACAGAGCTTCCCGTGTGAGCTTAAATCCTCACATTGAGAAGGCTTGCTTTCTCTGGACAAATTACTCCAAGCTAGAAGGAGGAAATTGCTATGCCGGGCATGCCCATTTTCTTCTCTAAATCCCCCACCACTCTGTTGCTTCCACTCCATCCTCTACTTACTACAAAGTAATTATTGAAACAAAAGTGACGGGGACAGGTAATGGGTCTCTGGGAAGGCAGGAGTCACTCCATTTCCGGTGTCGCCCAAGGTGCAGGTATGTGTTTTATTAGCCTGTTTTCTCTGAGATCCATTCCTCCATCTTCCT